CGGAGGCTCGGGCGGAGGAGGAGGTGCCGGGCACTCCCCCCTCCCATTGTCCCGGTCCGCGGCCCGCAGCGGCCCGCTCTGCCCGGCCCCGCGCCCTCCCCGTGCCCGGTCCCCACTGCTGGCCCTTACCTTGCAGCGGCCGGCTCTTCCCGCCGCTAATGCTACTTATCCCGGGAACGCTCGGAACGGGGCCCGGGAGCGAACCCACAGACAAAAAGTGAAACTTCGGCAGGCCGGGAGCGGCTGCTGGTTGGTGCTCTCCCCCTCCTTCCTCCCCACCCCCTCCCCGCGGTCTCCTGTGCGGTGCCCTGAGCGCTGGAGGCTGACGTCAGGGGCCTGAATTCCTGACTTTGCCTGCACGCATTTGTCCATGTAAGGTATGGAGAGGCGTGTGCCCGCGGGGCCGCTGTGCTAGCCGAGCGGGGAGGGGGCGCGACGGGCAGCGCCCGATCGAGGTGGGCGACCCAGGGCAGTGCACTTCCTGGAGGAGGGGACACGGGGGTGCAGGGAGCATGGGAAGAGGAAGGGAAAGAGGGATCTGCCTCCACTGGAGGAAGAGGAAGGAGATGCAGGAGGAAGTCGAAAAACCGGCACACTAGGGTCCGCTCTGCAAGCGACAAATTGGAAGGCTGAGTTTGAGCGAAGGGATTCTGCCACGGAACACCCTCTCACCCCCACTCTCCCCACCCCAAGAGTCTTGTTGGAGCCCCGCCCAGGACTCCAGTAGGACTCAGAACTACGGGATGGTGGAGAGCAACTTCGGTTCACTTCACACGTGAGAGCGCCGAAGCTCTCAGGAGCTGCGACCGGACCCAGTCGCACACGGTGCAAATCTAGGAGCAGATCCCATTCTCCGCTCCCAGCTGGGTTTCCGCCTCCAGGCAGGACCCAAGCTCCGAGGCTGTGAACTCAGAACCGAGTTAGACCTGGCAGATGACTCGACCACCCACTGAAGTGACTAGCCCCAGTTCCTGGAAGGTTGCGGTTGACAAGCCTTGAGTAACAGTGGCAATCAGGGCAACTTCCTGTTCTTTGTTCAGAACAGAAACGAACCTTTGGAGTTTAAGACTTGCTTCCCAACCTTGCTCTGCCGGAATACCAGAAAGCTTGCTCTTTTCTTAGAGCTTGGAAAAGAAAATACACAAACTGGGTGAACTGGTTTGAATAAAGACAGGCCTGTTCTTGGAAGGTTGGGGTTGGATTTTTTTTTTTTTTTGTCTTTGATATTTGTAAAAGTGAGCAAAGATGAGAACCCCATGTACCAGATGAAGACATGGAGTAGGAGGTACTAGAGGCCCTCTGGGCCGCAGTATTGAAGGCTTTTAATTCCACCACTAGGAAGGAAGTCTATGTGGTCCCTGTCCCCCCCAGAAAAACAAAACCAACTTATGATTAGTTCTTTTTGTCTGTCTTTCCTGTTCCTACACAAAAGAAATGCCTCACCTTGGCCCATGCTGATGGCAACCCCAGCCCACCCTAATGGCTCCCCCACCCATTTCTACAATCTCAAATGGTTTGGATGGGCTAAATGTGGTAAAGTGACCTGAGCAGACTCCTGAACTCTTCAGATCTGAAGCCTCTTTCCATCCACCCTGTGGTCCCTGACCTCCTGTAGCTAAGCCAGTCATGCGCATACGAAGTACACCAAGAGCCTATGGGTGCAGGGAAGCTTAAACGTGGCTCTTTTCGGGTTAGATTTCGATGACCCCATTTCACTAAGAATTAAGCAAATGAGTGTCAGAGTGCATATTCTTGTGCTTAACAGTTATTGAACAACGCCTCCCCCACAGTCTTCAAATTCAAACACTTAACCCCTTTGCCCCGCTCCACTTTTCCAGCTACACGTTCAAAAGTCGGAATGCAGCAGAGAAGATCAAGAATGGAATGGCATGCATTCCACACAATAATGAAATCTTTTCTCCTGATAATTAACCTGGTATCAGACAGGAAGCTCCTGGCGTTCAGACTTTGAAAGATCACAGTCTACTCACTCTGTCCTAAGCTTTTCAACCAATCTGTGTCCTGTGTGCTATCTACAACTGATTGTGAGGGAAATCACCTAGTGCTGATTTAGACATAACGGAACTTGAGGAACTTGACCGGCATTGCTTGCTTGCTTTTATTCCCTTCTCCGTAACCCACTTATAAAGAATAATAGGGTTCTAATGAGGATTAATAAAATTTAATAAGGTATAATTAGAGTCATTCATTTCCCCCATCATACACATTATAAGAGTGCTGTGTTGATCCAGAAATGCTGCTAATTATGTGGAAACTGTTCCGTGTGTTAGGGAAGATCACTCTACTGCTTCTCCTGAAATGCTGATGAATTGCTCAGGTAGGCATGAACGTTATAGAAAGTTAATCACAAAAGGTAGTTGAAACTCCTGAGGTCCTCCCCAGGAGTGTAAGTGACAAGGTCATAAGTTGAATGTTTGGTGAACCACAGGCTGGGCCATCAGGAGTCCTCACCAAAACCAGAAGCCTCATTCTGCTTTGTTGTTCTGCTTTCTTTCGTCCCCTCACGTGCAGTGTGCACAGACATGGGCCAGATCAAAAGTTTGCTCACACTTGCAAACACGGTGCAGTTTAAATACCGATTTACCATAGCAGAGAATAAAGGCAGCCCAAGATTTCAGATGAGGTCGAGGGTGTGGCCCTGTGGCCAGAGGAAGGCTCAAGGGTGCTATGACGGTTGTCCCTTGTCTAGTGACAAAACACAGGCAGGCTGATGGATCCTGTTACTCCATTGTACTTGCCACCTTTCTATACCCGAAGGCCTCTCAGAAGTCATAACCCTTTTTCTGGAGTCTGTGCCAGCCAATAGTGTAAGGCCTTCTGTGCAATTCACGTAACCTACAGCTCCCTTGAAGGGGCTGTTGTTATTTCTGTAGTTGGTACATGAGGAAACGAAAGCCAGAGGAAGCCAAGCAGCTTATTCTTAACACTAGCTTTCGGGAACACGAAGAGTCCACGAGGAGCCCAGGAAGCCTGGCGCCTGTCTTCGCACTGCGGAGTGGCCATCTGCTCTCGGTGTGAACAGTCCATTGCAGAGGCTCATAATCCGCAGCCACGGAGAGGAAGAACGCAGGGGAGGCTACAGGCGAAATAGGAAGGGTATAATCGCCAGGGAAGATGGGAGCTGGTAGCAATCTGATGCTGCTTCATCTACGCCGGACTCCACTGCATGGTTTGCACAGGCCTTGATGATCCGGTACCGGCATGGGCCTTCTGCTGCAGTTTTGCAACCCTCCAGCTGTATGTAGCCAGTGGAAATTAGAGCAGGCTCCAAAGCGCCGGCGCCTGCACTTTGCGCAGGTTCCTACTCTCCGCAGCTTCTACTCTTCGCAATAAGTTTCCTTCTCCATCCACCTAGCAACCCTTCAAGCTCCTGTGCAGTCCCATCTCCCCTGAGGACTCCTCTACCCCCTGTGCCACCTCCAGAACACTCCCTGCTCTGTGGTTAGGACCTCAGACACTGCGTAATGTATCCCAGAGTCCCTAACATTATTCCTGCCTTGGTCATTGTAGGCATTCAAAACTTTATTTTTTTTCCTTTCTGTTGATTCTGTCCAAAGATAGAGGAGAAAAAAGAAGGTGGAAGGTCTGTGTGTTTAAATTAATCATCAGAGAACAACGCCAAGAAATGAGATCCAGATCGCAGCAGGCCAATGGGAAAGTACAGAAAGTCAAAACTCCAAAAACTTGGAGATAACACTAAGTCTAGCTCATGGTGAGGAGAGGAAGCGTCACTGGCTCTGATTTACTTCCGGGTTGTTGTGCAGTCTCTTCAGGAGTCTCCCAGAGTCACTTCCTCCACGGTCTCAATTTCTTTCTCCCATGCAGTTAAATTACTGAATTCGATGTAGCTCCCAAACTTGATTCGGCCTTCTCATCAGTAACCAAGTTCATTTCCACAAGGCGTGGCATGACACTTTAACTTGCAAAGTTAAAATATCATTGAACTTAAGTGCAGACCCTTCTGCTGCTCTTTTCATATATCCTGAACAAGGCCTTGTGGGTATTTTCCAAACTGTAGGCTGTACATCCATCCTAAACCACCCCTAACCACTTCCAGGTCAGTCTATCTTTTCTGCCTCTCCCCCGCCTCCCATGAGAGAGAGGGGGGAGAGAGAGAGAGAGAGAGAGAGAGAGAGAGAGAGAGAGAGAGCTAGATTCCTTCAAGACCCATCCTTACCAATGCAGATTTGGCCGCCCTGCTGGCCTCCCAGAAGGTCTGGTCTTACCATTGCCTAGCCTTTCACGTGACCTCCTTTGATAATGAAAGTAACCTTTCGGCCTTCTAAGAAAGATACATACTTGTGTATCCTAACGCTCTATATTTTTCAAATGAGTTGGAGCCCTTCCTTCTGTCTTAGTCAGGGTTTCTATTGCTGTGATAAAAAAATCATGACCAAAAGCAAGTTGGGGAGGAAAGGATTTATTCCGCTTACCCTTCCACCTTGTAGTTCATCATTGAAGGAAACCAGGACAGGAACTCAAACAAGGCAGAAACCTGGAGGGAGAAGCTGATGCAGGGGTCACAGAGGAGTGTTGCCTACTGGCTTGCTTCCCACGACTTGCTCCATCTGCTTTCCTGTAGAACCCAGGGCCACTAGCCCATTGATAGCACAACTTACAATGGTCTGTGCCTTCCCACATCAGTCACTAAGGAAATGCTTTACGGCATGATCTTATAGAGGCATTTTCTCAACTGAGGTTCCCTCCTTTCAGATGACTCTAGCTTGTTTCAAGTTGATGTAAGACTAGCCAGCAGGCTGTCCCATGTAAATACTTAACAGTAGTTTTGTGTTTTCCATTCTTTTCATACTAACAACAGTTACCCTGCGTTTATAACTAAATGTCAATGAATGAGAGAGAAAGAATCCTTTATGCTTTCTAAAAAAGCAACCAAGTATCTTCTCCTGAAGCTTGGTGGTGTACCCTAGGCACAAGACAAATCAAAAGGGACATATGATGGTTGTCTGTCAGGGACCAACCTCGGCAAAATATTACTCGCTAGGGTAGGGGCGTGGGGATTAGAAATATAAGTAAAGAGTATGAAGTTGCGAAAATAATAAAATAGAAAGCATAGGATAATATCAGGACGGAGTTCCAGTGGATACTGAAATTGCCCACATTTAATTTCCAATCACTTAAAATACCCTGACCCCAAAAGGTAGGAGTAAGATTTAAAAAAAAAAAAAACTGCATTAACACAATACAAGGAAATGAAAAGACCAGTTGAAGGTGGCAGGCTACATTTACAGTTAAACATTCTCTTTGCTAGAACAAAACAAGTCATACTCACACCCTAGACCAAAACATTCTGTAGGCAAACCATTCTCTGGGTAGAATCTCCTTAAGGGGACTGGAACCTTAGTTGGATCCTTTGTTTGAGGTTGAAACATATCTACTTCTCTATTCCTGAAATACAAGGTCTGGATATTAGCCACACCTGTTGACAATAACCTTGACCTAGCTCTGACATAAATCTAGGTGGGACCTTTGTTTGAGATAGAAACACAATAACCTTGAAGGAATAGAGGTAAGTTCCAACTCTCTGACCTTTGGTCATTTGATGGAAACAGTTTCAAATTTTTGGGCTTCCATAGTTGTCATTTGTTACATAGTGTTCTTTGAGCTTTTCTAGGACTTTTAACTTATTCTACACATAAATTTTATAAATTCAGTATATAGATCTGTTTCAAGAACACATCTGTAATAAAAGCAATGACTATCTTACCACTTCACATCAAATTTGTCATAAAAATGCCAAGTCATGGACATAGTTGAGATACAGTCCATCTCCTATGGGTACACATGTTAGAGAATTGGTCCCCAGTATGGCACTGTTGAGGTTATACGATCTTTAAAAGGTGGGGTTTTATGTGAGACCACTGGGTCATTGCAGGCCCTGTCCTTGAAAATGTTGATAGATAAGGCCACTCTCCTGTGACTCCTGGGTGTTCCTCATTAGAGAATTGGTATAAAAGTAGCAATCCTGCTCCCTTCTCCCCTCTCTGCTTCCCAATCTGACATGTGACAACTTGTTCCTACCATATGACACCCACTATCTTAGGGTTTCTGTTGCTGTGAGGAGACACCATGACCCTGGCAACTCTTATGAGGAAAATATTTAATTGAGGTGGAAGCTTATGGTTTCAGTTTAGTCCATTACCCTCATAGCAGGAAACATGGTGGCATGCAAGCAAACATGATGCTGGAGACATCTTGATCCAAAGACAACAGGAAGTGAACTAAGACACTAGGAGTGGCTTGAGCATATGAGACCTCAAAGCACCCCTCCACAGTGACAGGTTCCTCGAACAAAGCTACCCCTACCCCAACAAAACCACACCTCCTAATAGTACCACTACCTTTGGGGGCCATTTTCTTTTAAACTACCACATTCCACTACCCAGTCCCCAAAGCTTTGAAGCCATATCATAACGCAAAAATGCATTCAGTCCAACTTCAAAATTCCCATAGTCTAACACAGTCTCAAACTTATTTAAAAGTCTTAAGTTCAATGTCTCTTCTGAGATTCATATTATCTCTTAACTAGAATCCTCTGTAAAATCAAATTCAAAAACAGATCACATCCTTCCAATATTCACATCATGGATATATATTATCATCCCAAAATATAGGGAAGGGAGCATAGTGAGGAAATACTGGAACAAAGCAAGACGGGAAACTGGCTGGGCAACTCCACACTCTATATTCCCATGCCTGATGTCAAAA